AAGGACCACTGGCCTACGTCCTCCTAGTACTAACCCCATGCCCGATGTACTTGCAAGATAACGCAAAACCCTCTTAGTGGCAGACCAGTGCTGCGGTCGGTGTCTGCCTATAGCCACAAAGCGAGCCAGGATGCTGAGAGGGTATGAGAGATCTGGGCGCGTGAAAGTCATCAGGTACATGAGGCAACCCACCAGCTCTGCGTAAGGACCACTGGGCTCTGCTGACTCCTCAGGAACTAGAGCGGAGAGCCTGTGGTCTAGAGGCAGAAGAGTGGGCTGTGCGGAGGAGAACTGAAGGCCGAACCTCTGAAGGACCTGGCGCACCAACTATGACTGAGTCAAATTGATGGTGCAGGCTCCTCTATCCCTGGAGATCGGCAAGTCAATGTAGTGGCGCAATTCTCCCAGGTCAGTGCAGGTGTGTCTCTTCAGCAGTTCTGCCCTCACGGAGGCCGATGCGTCCCTGTCTGCCGTGGCGAAGACCAGGTCGCCTACGTAAACAAGGATGTAGAATGGAGTCTGGTTAGCACGAACGAAGAGCGAGGGGTCTGCAGAGGACGGAAAGAATTGCAGGTCAGCAAGCGTAGCACGCAGCGTGTCGTGCCACTCACGGGGAGCCTGCCGCAGGCCGTAGACGGGGCGCCAGAGGAGCCATTGGGTCCCAAGAGGGAAGGTACCATTGAAGCCCTGAGGGCGACGCAGGTAGACCTGCTCGTGTAGACTGCCCTGAAGAAACGCAGTGGAACAGTCGAGGGAGTGAAGCTCGTAGTCATGCTGCGCTGCTACATATAGTAGCACCCGAAGAGTAGTCATCTTCGGGGTTGGAGCGAAGGTCTGGAAGAAGTCAACCCGTTCACGCTGACTGAAACCACTAGCCATGTAGCGCGCCTTGAACACAGGCGGCTCTCCAGGAGGGCGCTTCACTTTGAAGAGCCAGCGGCCATCGACTACGTTCACCCCAGGTAGAGGAACTGCGTCGACGTAGGTGCCGGTAGCCCTCCAAGATGCCATCTCCTGCTCCATGGCAGCTATCCACTGAGAGGCGCAAGGTCCCGAGGTCGCCTCAGCGTAAGTACGAGGGGTCGGGATGTCGAAAGCGTCTGGTTCACCCGCAGGGACTAACAGCATGGAACAAAGATGGGGAGCAGCCTCGGATAGGAAAGCAAGCTCGTATTGGCGGTCCTCCAGGACGTCACTATCAAGGGCAGGAGCACCCCCGACAGACGGAGGACAGGCACGGTCAGAGACCAGAGCGGTGGCGTAGTCAAGGCGGCGGGTAGAGGCGAAGTCAGCGACCGCAGAGACAAGGGCGTCGAGGCTCGAAACCGGAACAGACGGGTCGGTAACGAGAGAGGCAAGGACCCGAGGAACAAGAGGATGAGCAGCACGCAGGTAGTCAGACAGAGAGGGGGAAGCAACAACAAGGGGAGACGGAGGGGGCGACGGGAGAAGGGGAGGACGAGACGCGTGGGAACGAAGCAACATAGGGTGAGAGCGTGAGACGGGGGAGACAGGTCGAGCACGGGAGGGACGGCGAGACCAGACGTGAGACGGGCGAGTCGAGTCAGGAGACAGAGGAGGGGACACAGGAAGGGAACGAGGGGGGAAACGGGCCGGAGACGCGTCCGGAGGAGGGAACACAGGGCCGGAGACAGGAGGAGGAGGAGGCACAGGCACGGGGCCAGGGGACGGAAGGCCGAGCAGGCGAAGAGCGGACACCGGCGGGGACTGATGTGACTGCGGTGTGACGCCGACACCGGGACCGCAAGGTGCCGGGCGGCTACCTCCAGAACACTCCACACAAGTACCCCCAGAAGAAACACCCCCAGAGTTCAGAACCCTTCGAGCACCGGTACCACCCCCTGGCCCGCCGGGACAAGCCACGACAGGAGTCCTAGGACAAGTACCTATCCCAAGTCCAGCACCCCCAGAGGCAACCAACTGTTGCGGCGACGGCTGCGGTGGCGGCGGTCGCAACGACGGCCGTGGCGACGGCGGTGGCGGTGACGACGGCTGCGACAGCGGTGGCGACTGCGGCTGCGGAGGCGGCGGAGGAGGGGACACCAGAGAAGGGGCAGGCGGCGAGGACTACGCCGCAGAACTACCAGAGTCAGTAGACTCCTCATCTGGTACAACCGACGTAAGTGGGGTGATGTGGGACACACCAGAGGGGGTAGGACGGGGAGGGGGAGGAGGAGGGGCGGCGACGACCGGGGAAGGGGTGACCAGGAACAGGGGGGGGGTAACCGGGGGACCTCGGTAGGGGAAGCGACGGAAGAAGGAGACGGACTCGTCAAAGGTGACGTCACGGGAGTGAAAGAACCAGTGAGACAGCGGATGGTAGAAGTGCCAGTCAGATGCGTCAAGGGGGAAGCCGAGGAAGACACAGGGAAGGGTGTGGGCAGTGAGCTTGTCTGTGCCAGAGGCACGAACGTGAGCAAGACAGCCCCAGACGTGGAACGCAGACGCGTCACCAGGTGACCCAGACCAAAGAAGGGTCGGCGAAACCTGAGGCTGCTGGGGGTGCGGCCAAAGGTTAAGCTGGTGAGCGGCGTAGCGAACGGCGAACGGCCACAGAAAATGGGGTGCACCGGCATGGATCATGGAGGTGCGAGCCACCTCCATGACCAAGCCGATGCGTCGCTCAGCGACCCCATTCTGCTGAAGGGAGTCCGGCAGGGTGAACGTCTGGGTGATGCCCTCCGCACGACAGAAACGACCAAGGACACCAGAGGCAAAATCGCCAACACGGTCAGAGTGGAGGCGCAAGACAGGGAGACCGCGGTGGACACGCGCAGCGACAAGCCACGGGATAAGAACGGCAGCCACGTCGGCCTTCCGCTCCAGGGGGAACACAGTGGTGTAGCGCGTGTAGTCGTCGACAAGCACTAGGGATTAGCGCTCTCGACGCGGCCCATGGACGGGGGCGGGGCCCCAGACGTCCATGTGCAGAGTATGTAGCGGTGTGGCGGTAGGGGGAAACGAGGAGGAGTGAGGAGCACGGCGAAGCCGGCCCTCGACACAAGGCGTGCAAGGTGGGGTAGGGGAGGAGGGAAACTTAGAGAACGACCCAGGGAGGCCTAGGACGAGACCGTGCTGTGACATGTGACGCAGACGCGGGAGCGTAGGGTGACCTAGACGGTGGTGCCACAGGAGAGTCGGGTGGGTGAGTGACCGACAGGAGCAGGCAGCAGCAACCTGGGTAGACGCAGCCACCCTGGGGGGGGTCCCAGCCGGGGGGGGTCATAGTGTCTTGTGTGAACAGTCCGGACACCGGGTCCCCGGGGAACGTGGTAAGGGGGGCACCAGTGGCGGCCTCGGTACAGACAGCGTACTGCTCGTGTCCAGGGAACTTAGTGGTGACGCCAAGGTCGTGGAGGCAGCCGACACCAACTAGGTTCCTGGAGAACGAGGGGATGTGCAGGCCTGTGAGAGAGCCCGAAGGAACCGCCGGGCAGGGGAGGGTGGTGGAACTGCGAGCAACTACAGGGCCAGAGGAGGGGTCAGCCAAGGAGACGGCGGCAGGGACAGGAAGCGGTGTCAACGTGGTGGAGTCGCGGAAGAAGCACCAGGAAGCGCCAGAGTCGAAGGTGAAGGAGAGCGCGGCAGTGGCGGACGGAGGCGAAGCAGCGACGGAAGCACCAAGGCAAACAAAAGCAGGGGATCCTACGCCTGACGCAGCAGGTGAGTCTAAGGAAGGCACACCTACACTAGGCAACAAGGGGTAATAAGACGGAAACATACTAGAGTCATCAGCATACATTACATGCAGAGCAGCAACAATCTCATCCATGTCCATATCAAAAATCTGAACCCTACGACTAAGCAAGCTGTGCCAGTCTGGGAGCTCGGGCGACGGGCCGAAACGCTGACGAAACAGGTCGTCCAGGCGACGGAAACAGCGGACGGAGGTATGACCGATCTTACCGCAAACGAAGCCACGACGAGGACCGGTCTGAAGCAGGTACTGACAGCGCGCGGCACCCGAACCACCACTCGGCATCCCACCACGCGCACCATCACCATGTCCAGCGCTGCCACCAGCGCCGGGCCACCCAGGCGGAAGACGACTTGTCCGCCTCTGCTGCTGCTGCGACTGCTGCGGCTGCGGCGACGGCTGCGGCTTCTGCGGCTGCGGCGACGGCTGCGGCTTCTGCGGCTGGCGCGGGTCCGGCGGCAACACCGGCGACTGCTGAGACGGCTGCTCAGCTGCACCTCTCAGGGTTCCCGCGTCAGCACCACCACTAGGTGACCCAACTCCAGCACCACCTACACCCGCACCCCCACCCCCGTCGCCACGTCCAGCCTTGGGGCGGTGACCCTTCCCCGGACGAACCTGTGCGGCAGCGGCAGTCTCAGCCACAGCAGCAGAACCGTCGGAGAAGGTGCACTGAGCGGGGGCACAAGCCTGAAAGATAGGGACCGGCACAGTACCGCTGGTCTGAGCGATAGAGCGGTGGCGGGCCTCTATAGCGGACAGGGTGTCAACAAAGTCAGTGAGGGTAAGGTCTGCTGGGTGGACGCTAAGAAAGCGGTCACGGGCAGTGGCAAGACGGTCAGGGAGGCGGGTGGCTAGCAGGTAGAGAGTAGAGGTGAGGGGCGGCTGGTGGGCTAGAAGCTGTGTGGGGGTGCAGGTAGCACGCCAGGTCTCGTCTATGGTGCGCAGGTGAGCGGCGAGGTCGGCGACAGTGGGGACGGGCGCGAACGGCCAGGGGGGCCGGCTAGGGACAAGCGCGACGGCAAGGGGGCCGGCTAGGGGGCCGGCTAGGAACGTAGGGGTGGAAGCGTGAGCGGGCTAGGGGGGGATCTAACCTACTATGATACCATATCAGAAAGAAAATGATTGAACTAGAATGTGTGTGTACAAGGATATATAAACTAGGGTGTTGTACTCTCTAAGGCACAATCCAGTATAGTCTACAATAACAACCTAAGTTACATTTGACACTATTCCTTTATTCCCCTCCTTTTTCTTATCAAATTAATTCGTAGTATATATGTGTATCACACGACAACATATCTTGTTGCATCAAGGCAACAACAAAAGCTACATGCAAACCAACATCGTCAAACTAGCAAGGAAATCTAACACCTCATGATGCCTATGTCATAGCCGTGAGAAAAGCCATGCAGGGAGGGCGGACTAATTAATTAAGAAAACCCTTGCCCTACTTCACGTATAACGGGTACGAATGCCCGTCTACACTGGCCCCAAATCAAAGAAAGACTGGCACTCAGGGTGGAGCGTGGAGTGGTCCATGATGGTCAAGGGGCCATCGGAACTTCCCAGGGCAACCAATTTCGACAGACCTGCGCACAGGTCAGGTGAGCCCTGCTCGAGAGCAACTTATGTATGGAAAGAGTGGGAGCCAGGTTCGGAGAGAGAGAATGAGGAAGGGGGGAAGAGAGGGGGAGGGGAGGGGGAATAGAAAAGTAAGGTAGGAAGAAGGGACGGAGAAGAGCCGGAGTGACGGTGATGGAGAGTCGGAGTGAGAGGCAAAAAGCTAGGGGCCAGAACAGCCGCCGTATTGCATCCCTCTCTCGAGCCTGCCACTCCCCACAAACCCCCTTCCTCCTCTCCCCCTCTCCCCTTCATTCTTCAACGGTTAATAGAAACAGAGCCTCCAACAGGCCAGAACGGTATTTTGGATGCCCGGGAGACACCTGCGTCCCTGCTACGTGCATGCCACGATGACCCAGCAGCAGCACCAGCAGCACCAGCAGCATCAACAGCAGCAGCACCAGGTCTTCCTGCTTCGACTGTGCTGCCTGCTGCTCGTCCTCCACCTCCCGTTCCTACACTTCCAGCACCAGAATTAGCACCAGAACCAGCACCAGCACCGGCACCGGCACTGGCACCAGCAGCCGCAGAAGAGAATACTGAACCGTTGAAACTTGCTCTGGGGCTTGAAGGATGCCGAATTTTGCCACCACCACCACCATAGGCCATGCCAGTGCCTCCACCACGAGAGAAAGCAGCTGCAAAGACACTATTTCTTCCCCCCTCCCGGCCTGCTCCCCCAACTCCCCCTGCTCCTCCTGTTCCTTCCCCCCCTCCTCCACTGGTTCCGCCTCTTGTTTCCCCGACAATCCCTGCCACGGGTGCAGCAGCCCCGCTCCCTCCGTTGTTCTCCTTGTTTGAGCCGTGGGTCCCTGGCGCTTGCATTGCACTGGGGCGAGCTGGAAGAGAGGCAGGCGCAGACGAGATGGCTGAAACACCAGCACCAGCAGCACCAGAAGCAGCAGCAGCAGCAGCAGCAGCAGCACCAGCGGCACCAGCAGCACCAGCGGCAGCAGCAGCACCAGCGGCAGCAGCAGCACCAGCGGCAGCAGCAGCACCAGCGGCGGCAGCAGCACCAGCGGCAGCAGCAGCACCAGGAGCTCCAGAAGCGTGGGTGGAGGAGGAGGGTGCATGGTTCGCTGCATGCCTCTTGTACGAACCAGCAGCCCTACGAGCAATGAGAGAGAGCGGAGCCAGGGCCGCACCCACGTTAACACTCAACACCGACAAGTGCCCATGCCCATGCCCATGCCCATGCCCATGCCCATGCCCATTCGCCTGTCCGCGGTAGGATCCGTTCCCCTCCCCGTATCCCTGCCCTTGCCCGCGCCTAGACACACTTTCTTCCGCCCGCTGCCCCTGCGATCCTTGCCGCTTCTGCCCCCCGTGCCAGCCGCTATGCCCGCGCGCCCTTTCCCCGCCGTGCGTACTTCCCCCGTGTACTCTCTCTCCCCCCGACGGGGGGGCTCCGCCAAGCGTTGACGAGAACAGAGCGCGCCGACAGCCTTCCGCGGCCGCAGCAGCCAGGGCGGCGGCGGCTGCCGCTGCCACAGGGCGCGCGTGTGTGGAGCGGGAGAGCGGGCCGGCGGGGGACTGCGGGCGGGAGGGCATGGGAAGGGGCTCGGGCGGGGGGGAAAGGGTTCCGGGGAGGTCGAACTTGGAGGGGGTGGGGGTGCCAGCGGGGGTGCCTGCGGGGGTGAGCGCGGGGGTGCCGGCGGGGGTGAGTGCGGGGGAGATGGGCGTGCGCGGAAGGCGTTCAGCGGAGGGGCATTCCAGAAGCTCGGGCACGACAACGCTCAGGGGGACGAGCTTCACCTTCCGCTGCTGCTGCGCCTGCGGCTGCGGCTGAGCCTGCAGCGGAGGCGGAGGCGCCTGCTGAATCTGCGCGTGAATCGTCGGACCTTGCGCCTGCGACGGCAGCCGCGGCGACGACACGGGGGATTGGGGAGCCGATAACGGCGCTGGCTGCTTCCCTCCCTGCTGCTGCTTCAGGTACGGGTTCAGCTGCTGCAGCTCCTGCTGCTCGTGCAGGCGCTGCTGCTGCCGTATCCGCTGCTGCTCCCGCCGCATCTCCTGCAGCGCCTGCTGCCGCTGCAGCTGCTCCAGCTGCTCCTCCTTCTCCCGCTCCTTCCACTCCTCTAACGCGTCCGAGAATTGCGTCAGGCTCCGCCGACTCGCCACGGGCCACGCCTCCTCTAGCGCCGGCTCCTCCGCGCCCCTCCCCGGAACCGCCGCCGCGGCCGTTGCGCAACCCGCGCCTCCGCCGCCCACCCCGCCGCCGCCGCCTCCGGCGGACCCGTTGCCGCCGCTGCCGCCGGCGGAGCCCGCGGCGCTGCCGTTGAGAGACGATGCGCGGCTGTTGAGCGCGCACGCGGGCGCGCCGCAGCATTGGACTTTCAACCATGGGTGTTCCAACACGTTGCGCGCTTTCGGACGCTTACGTGGATCCACCGTCAGCATCTGACGGACCAGATCCTTCGCCAGCGACGACACGTGTCGCCAGACGGCAGCGTCGAAGTTGATGTTCCCACGAAGGATCGACCGTTTGAGCCCCTCGTCGTCGCCGTGAGTTTTACCGGCGAACGGCAGACGGCCGGTAAGTATAGTGCAGAGAACCACGCCGAGGGACCAAACGTCTGCGCGCTTGCCGTAACGCTTCCCCCGAACCATCTCCGGAGCGGTATAGTATCGACTCCCCGTAAGTCCTGTCGCCGTCTCCCCCGGCCCTAGCTCGATCGCGAGGCCGAAATCCGCGAGCTTAGTAGAAATCGGCCGTAGTTGCCGCTTGGCCAACTCTCCGCTTCCGCCGCCCCCGCCGTCTTCCCCACTGCTGCGGCCGCTGCTGCAGCGCGGCCGGCCGCTGGGGCTGCTGCTGCGGCCGCTGCCGCTGCTGGCGCTGCTCCCGCTGCCGCGGCTGCTGCCGTTGCCCCGGTGGTTGGTTGTGATTCCATCGCTGCTGCTGCCGCTGCTCGTGCTGCACCCGTCAGTGATGGTATCGGCCGCAGGCGCGGGCGTGAGAAAAAGGACGTTCTCGGGCTTTAAGTCCCGGTGCATGACGCCTTGCGCGTGGCAGTAAGCTACCGCAGTCGCGAGCTGACGGAAAACGGCGCACGCGTCTTTCTCGTCGAACGGGCCGCGGCCTTTGATCTCGTCGAATAAATCCCCGCCCTCGCAGAGCTCCATGACCAAATACACGCGCGACTCGTCCTCAAAAACGTCTTGTAACTCCACGATATTAGGATGCCCCGCCATTTGCTTCAGCAGCCGCACCTCCCGCCGAACGTCCTCCACGTCAGCGTCGTCTCTTAGCTGCTGCTTGTCGATCACTTTGCACGCGTATCGGAACCCCGTGTGCCGATTGCGGCACTCGTGCACAGCGCCGAACGAGCCCTTACCAAGGCGCGCGCCTAGATCGTAATCCTTGGTTATATCGCGGCCCGTGATGGGTAACCCGCCGCATGCCCCTCCTCCCCCCCCGCTGCAGCCGCCGCCATATCCGGCGGGAGGTTGCAGCACCTCGACCGCCATTACTACTCCGGTAGGGTTAGAGGATGCTCGCGCAGTGGACAGAGAGTTGAATTGGATGTAGCGAATGATTGAGAGCTCCAAGCAGCGAGAGAGATCTGATCAGGAAGTGTGCGGCTTCCGGGGGCGTTGCGGGTTCGCGCTTCGCAATAATCCAGGAAAGCCCCTTCCGCCGCCCCTCTGCAATGTTCCTTGCAACTGGCAATGGCTTAGCAGGGGTGCAGGTAAAGAAACTCGGACCCTTGAGAAGTAAGACGTGGAGGATTTGCAAAAGGTGGGGCTCGACTATGGTTTAGGAGAGCGAGGTGTGCCTCCGTACCACACAAGGGTCTTGACTGTTATGAATTCTATGACTGCTACGAATACTATGGCGAATGTGTCAGTTTGAGGGGACTAAGATAACGGTTAGAGCTAGGCGGCAATTCACCAGCAGCAAGCGGCTGCTTCAATCTAATAGAAGCTCTCGGCAAACGAGAAGACTATTCTTAAGTGTAAGTCGCAGAAGCAACGTTGGGCAACGTCGAATGGCACGTGGCTGAGGTAGAGTCTATGAGACTGAATCAAGCAGCCGCGCTTTTTTATTTTTTCCCGTCAGATGCGCCTAAACAAGCCGAAATGCTCCGGTTAGTTGGATCCACCCAAAAACCATGGATTGAGCACAGCACTAGCTTACGGAATCCCAAAGCACATAGCCCGGAGTCGCTACTATCGCAAAGGGAGTCAATGGGTCGTCCGGCGTCGCAGCGTTGATCGAGAGAAGTCGCGAGAGGATGGGGTGGGTGGGAGTGAAAGGAGATGACTCGAATCAAGCTGTCATGAACAGCTTCACGTAAATTTGAATCCTACTATGTTTCGGGCAGGATTCGTTGATTGTTTGCATAAGCCCGAATTCTTGTTCTATGTTTTAGTGTCCCGAGTGAGGGTTACCTTGATACGGCATCAGTATTTTGAAATTTGACATAAGGATGTTGACGGTGTGGAACTCTACACGTCATCCAATTTGCCAATATGTCAAGATCTCTATCGTCGATAGACTCGAGTGGTCTGACACGGGGTTTTCCTTCGTCTGGGGGGGGGGGGGGGGATGTACTTCGCGGCTCAAAACCAAATTTTGTGGTGGTACATGAAATTCAGTTATTGCTGTATGACCCGATAGTTCATCTCCCCTCCCTACCCTACTGTTTTCATTCTCCATCTGGATTACGCGAACACGTTCGGACCTCCTGCTAGTGCTCTCACAACCAACCAGCACACATGACTGCTTCCCAAGTTCCCGCTCTCAGTGCGAAAAGGAAGTCCAGCGGTGCCGAATTTCTGCCAGAGATTCTGGGTGGCCAAACGTCCAGCGCGGCAAGGAAGGAAATTTGAACGAGCATATGGGTTGAAACATTCCCCCTGCCCCCCAGTCACAGGTCGAAAATGCAATTCGCGTTTCGGCACAAAAGTGCCAATCATGCGACTCGTGCGTCAGCGGGGGCATGCGACTCGGTACGGAAAATCACGATGCGCTTGCGCTCAGCAGCAATGTATCAACCAGTCATGCCTGTTCCCTCCAAAGAAACGTCCAGCTCTTGTGTTTCAGAAAAATGCATGGGCAAAGTCTGCTGCCAGCGTCAGCATGCCACCAAACACTGCTGGAGGCTCCCACTTCCAAAAATGGTTTTGCTGGTCGTGGCAACGGACATCCCAAAATATGTCATCTGTAGCAGAACCCGAAACACCTTTCTACACAAGTTCCACCTTTGGCATTCATATGCTAGGCCTACATCTTTATTGCTAAATACCCTAAACCATTCACGAGTATTATTTGACCACTCCATAATGCAATTTGCTTGAGAGAGCAGCAATATGACTCGTGACACGACTTTTTTTTTTTTTTTTTTAAACATCATCTTGAGAGTTAAAGCCCACAGTTAAAATAGCAGACCTGGAAACCACTTGAATCTGGTGCTTTGAAATCCGTATAAGTATAGAATGGAAGGCAGCTTTGAGTTCAAGCTTGAACAAGAAAAGTGCGTCGAAACAAATTCTGGTCGAGCTTGCTGATTGGAGGAATGGCGAAAGTGTCAAACATAACGTATGCAGTTACTGTATACTATATATGTTTGTGCCTTAGTGGGTACAACTCTCTAGACTATACTGCCTTGTATCTCCCCAATCTACTCACTATTCTTTCTGATATGGTATCATTGTCGGTTAGGTTCCCCCCTGACCTGCCCACGCTTCCGCCCCCTAGGCCCTAGTCACCGTCGTGCCCCGCTCCTAGCCGGCCCTCCTGGCCATCGCGCTCGTCCCTAGCCGGCCCCCTGGCTGTCGCGTCCGCCCCTAGCCGGCCCCCTGGCCGTCGCGTCCGCCCCAAGCCGGCCCCCTGGACGTCGCGCTCGTCCCTAGCCGACCCCCTGGCCGTCGCGTCCGCTCCTAGCCGGCCCCCTGGCCGTCGCGTCCGCCCCCAGCCGGCCCTTTGGCCGTCGCGTCCGCCCCTAGTCGGTCCCCTGGCCTTCGTGCTCGTCCCAAGCCGGCACCCGGGCCGTCGCGTCCGCCCCTAGCCGGCCACCTGGCCATCGCGTCCGCCCCTAGCCGGCCCCCTGGCCGTCGCGTCCGCCCCTAGCCGGCCCCCTGGCCGTCGCATCCGCCCCTAGTCGGCCCCCTGGCCGTCGCGCCCGTCCCTAGCCGGCCCCCTGGCCGTCGCGTCCGCCCCAAGCCGGCCCCTGGGCCGTCGCGCCCGTCCCTAGCTGCCCCCTGGCCGTCGCGCTCGTCCCTAGCCCCCCCCCCCCCCCCCCCCCCTGGCCGGCGCGCCCGTTTCCTGCCGTCCCACGGCCGCCCCCTCGTAGTCGCGGCCGCCCCTAGCTGCCGTCGCGACTGTCCCTGGCCGCCGTCGCGGCCGTGTCTCCTCGCCGTCGTGGCTGGCCCTACTCGTCGTGGCTGGCCCTACTCGCCGTCGCGCCAGCTCCTCGTCGGCCCCCTGTTGCCGCCGTTTGCTGGCCCCTCGCGTCTGCCGTCCGCCGACCGGCTCCTGCATTCGCGTCGTCGCCAGCCTGCCGCCGCCTCGGGTTCGGCCCGTTCTTCCCGATCAGCACCGCCCTGCGAACCCCCCCCCCCGGTACCGTACTCAACCGCACTGCACCGCACTGTACCGCACTACACCGCACTGCACCGCACTATACCACATTGCACCGCACTGTACCGCACTACACCGTCCTACACCGCACTACACTTCCCGTGCCGTACTGCATCGCACCGTACTGCCCTCCATTGTCACTGATGGCAGAGGTGCTTCGCTTTGACCCTGAGGGCCAGCCGATTGAGTTTGATGCGTGGCTTGCTGACCTCCGTCGCCACCTCACTGGTCACCGGCAGGATGGCCACTCTCTGTCTGTCCATCTTGACGGTACCCTCCCCTGCCCTGACCACCCCGCTGCACTGTCTCCTGACCCCTCGTCCGCTGAGCGTGAGTCCGCTGCGGCCGCTGCCCTTGCTCGCTCTGTCTGGCTGTCCCGTGACGCTGCCGCACAGCTTGTTATAAGTAATGCCCTCCCCCTGTCCGAGCGACCTTGCTTCAGGTCTATCACCACTGCTCAGGCTTTCCTAGATGCTATTGTCAAGCGCTATTCCACCCCGCCTGCTGCCTCGGTAGGTCGCCTGATCCTCCCCATGCTCTTCTCTGACCTTGCGTCGTTCCCCATTGTCGCTGACCTGGCCGCCCACCTGCGCACTATAGACGAGACATGGCATGCTGCCTGCACTGACACACAGCTTCGCGCTCACCAGTCGTACCTCTGCTCTGCTCTCTACCTGCTGGCCACCCGTCTTCCTGACCGCCTTGCCACTACCCGCGACCGCTTCCTTAGCGTCCACCCCGGAGACCTCACCCTCACTGACTTTGTTGACACCCTGTCCGTTATAGAGGCCTGCCACCGCTCTATCGCCCAGATCAGCGGTACTATGCCGGTCCCTATCTTTCAGGATTGTGCCCCCGCTCAGTGCACCTTCTCCGACGGCTCTGCTGCTGTGGCTGAGACTGCTGCTGCAGCACAGGTCCGTCCGGGGAAGGGTCGCCGCCTCAAGGCGGGGAGTGGCGGCGGGGGTGAGGGTGCAGGTGTAGGTGGTGCGGGAGCTTTGTTCCTTGGTGGTGGTGTGGACGAGGGGACCCTGCCATGTGCAGCTGAGCAGCTGTCTCAGCAGCCGCCGGTGTTGCCGCCGGACTCGCGTCAGCCGCAGCAGTCGCGGCAACAGCAGCAGTCGCAGCAGCAGCCAAGACGGGCGAGTTGTCTCCCGCCCGGGTGGCCTGGCGCTGGTGGTAGCGCTGGATGTGGTGGTGGTGCGAGTGGTGGGCTGCCGAGTGGTGGTTCGGGTCCTGCGCGCTGTCAATACCTTCTCCAGACCGGTCCTTGCCGTGGCTTCGTTTGCGGTAAGATCGGCCACACCTCCGACCGCTGTTTCCATCACCTGGACGACCTGTTTCGTCAGCTCTTCGGCCAGTCGCCCGAGCTCCTAGACTGGCACAGTTTGCTTCGTTGTAGGGTTCAGATTTTTGATCTAGATATGGATGAGATTGTTACTGCTGTGCATGTGATGTATGCTGATGACTCTAGTGTGCTTCCGTCTTATTACCCCTTGTTGCCTAGTGTAGGTGTGCCTTGCTTAGACTCCCTTGCTGCGTCAGGCGTAGGATCCCCTGCTTTTGTTTGCCTTGGTGCTTCCGTCGCTGCTTCGCCTCCGTCCGCCACTGCCGCGCTCTCCTTCACCCTCGACTCTGGCGTTCCCGGTGCTTCTTCCGCGACTCTACCACGTTGACACCGCTCCCTGTCCCTGCCGCAGTCTCTCTTGCTGACCCCTCCTCCGGCCCTGTAGTTGCCTGCAATTCCATCACCCTCCCCTGCCCGGCGGTTCCTTCGGGCTCGCTCACAGGACTGCACATTCCCTCGTTTTCCAGGAACCTAGTTGGTGTCGGCTGCCTTCAGGACCTTGGCGTCACCAGTACGTTCCCTGGACACAAGTGGTACGCTGTTTGTACCGAGGCCGCCACTGGTGCCCCCCTTACCACGTTCCCACGGGACCTGGTGTCCGGTCTTTTCACAGTGGACACGGTGACCCCCCCGCCTGGGACCCCCCCTGAGGTGGCTGCGTCTCCTCAGGTTGCTGCTGCGTGCTCCTGTCGGTCTCTCACCCACCCGACCCTTCTCTGGCACCACCGCCTAGGTCACCTTGCGCTCCCGCGTCTGCGTCACATGTTACAGCACGGTCTCGTCCAACGCCTCCCTGGGTCGTTCCCTGAGTTTCCCTCCTCCCCAGCCCCACCTTGCACACCCTGTGTCGAGGGCCGGCTCCGCCGTGCCCTCACTCCTCGTTTCCCCCTACCGCAGCACCGCTACAGACTCTGCACATGGACGTCTGGGGCCCCGCCCCCGTCCATGGGCCGCGTCGAGAGCGCTAATTCCTAGTGTTTGTCGACGACTACACGCGCTACACCACTGTGTTCCCCCTGGAGCGGAAGGCCGACGTGCCTGCCATTCTTATCCCGTGGCTTGTCGCTGCGCGTGTCCACCGCGGTCTCCCTGTCTTGCGCCTCCACTCTGACCGTGGTGGTGAGTTTGCCTCTGGTGTCCTTGGTCATTTCTGTCGTGTCACCCAGACGTTCACCTTGCCGGACTCCCCGCAGCAGAATGGGGTCGCTGAGCGACACATCGGG